TAGTTAAAGCTTACTTTACTAATCCTACAGCCCTGTCCTCAGAAGCTGTATTGCAAATGTTCTCCTGTCTATCTTCACCACTGGCAACAATGTTATTTTGTAACACATATTACACAGCCTCAGAACAAAACTGATATAAGCAATTAAAAGATAGCACCAAAGGAATTAGCTGCTGAAACTACCAAGGCTAGAACAAATGAAAGCTAAGAACAGACATGGAGAAGTGGGAACACTCCTTTCTCTGCCACATGGAAATCAGCTCTGCTAGCTGGTTTCCAAAGGCTGAATGATTAAAGCCAATATGCTAGAAACTTGCAGACGGTTCTAGAAAAGGTCCTTGCCCTTGGAAGAGTTCATTATGTCAACTACAAAAGAGTGGTTTGCAAATGGCACAAAGTAAGGTGTGGGAGACTGAGATAAAGAATGAAATTTAGCGGGAGATGGGGAACAGGAGAACATAAAAAAAAAAAAAGAATTATTTAAGCCTCTGAAAGAAAAGACAAGGATGATTGATAAGCAGAAGAATAAAGAGAACTATACAACAAATCCTAAAGGTTGACCCCATTACAGAGTATTTATGTAAGAGACACTGAGCTGCTAGATAAGTTTACTAAATACTCTGCGGTGAGTTCACATTGCAACATCAGAATTTATGCAGGGGATGTCATTGTTATTTACAGTTCATTTTTTAAAAAGGAGCTCGAACACTATTTTGGAAACAATAGAATCACACACTTCAAAAGACCTTGAAAGATCATCTAGTTCTTGAAGGCACAGTTTACTGCCTTCCTCCAGCTGCTAATGCCTACAGGATCTGTCCCAGACTTCTAGCCATGGCCTCCCTCCTCAGGGCATCCCCAGTCAAGTAGCGTGCGTGGCAGAGGAAATAAAAGCCAGCCACGCGGGCCACATGCAGGACTCCAGAGCTCCTCTGTTGACGTAGACACTGTCAGATCTGCACAGCGATCAGAGGCTCTCTCTTCCCAGTCCTTTGTCCTCCTCCCTTCCCTGTAACACCAATCAGATCAGCATCTCTTCCTGAAAGCCTCGCCCTGCCCAATCACGCCACCGCTTCTCTGTGTCTTTCACAGGCACTGTGTTGATGACTCCCCAATAACCTCGTGTATTCCTAATTCTGACTCCACACCAAACTGGAAGTCATCTAAAATCCCAACAATGAGTGAACGGGCAAGTCATATCCATATAATAAAAAGCATACTCAGCATCAGCAAGGCAAAGAACAATTTACTAGAACATGCAACCACATGAACACATCTCTAATGCCATTTCTCTCCTGACAGGTATAAATAGTGCAAAAAATATATTTATATGTATCTGATATATGACTGGAGTACATACAGAACCTTTAAAACACTTTTTTATTTTTTGGTAACAGGGATCAAACCCATGACCTCATGCTTGCTGGACAGTACTTATGCCACTGAGCCAAACACATTTTTTAATGGGCAGAGATTTCATTTAAAAAGATACACGTGGAAAATGAGCACATGGTAACATATTCCATATCATAAGTCATCTGGAAAATGAAAATTAAAAACACAGTGAAATGCCACTACACCCTCATCGGAGTTAAGTACAATATTTAAAATGACAGTTCCAAGTAAAGCAGAGAATGTAGAGGAACTGACATTCTCACGTTTTGCTGCCAGGAGTGTGAAAGAGTCTGGGTACTTGGGAAAATAGGATATTAAATTTATTGCTACCATATCATCCAACAAGTCCACTGCTCACCCAGAAAAAAAATCATATGCACAAAATGACATGTACAAAAGTGTCCAGAACGGCTTTATTCATAAAAGCCCCAAACTGGAAACCACCTAAATGGGCATCAATGAATACATGGGCAAGTCATGGCATAGCCATTCAATGAAAATAAGATGTAGCAGTAGAAAAAATTTAAAAAACAATCGAGAGGAAACTGCAGCCCCATGAACTATCTGGAGAGCATTATACTGAGATAAATAAGTTAGACATGTAAAAGGACATGTGTGATTGTATTTCTATGAAGTTCTAAAGCTAGCAAAACTCATCTACAATGAGAGAAATCAGACCAAGAGTTGCTGAGGATATGGAAGTGATTGCAAGGGAATATGAGGGGATTTTCTGAAATGATGGAAATTTTCTAAATGTGTATACACACAGGTGTGTATATTTACCAAAACTCATCCAGTTGTACACTCAGACTTACAATCTGATTGTAAAAGTGTATTTCTGTGATTTACAAGTCTATGCGAGACACTAAATACTAAGTAAATATGTAAGTGAATATCTTATAGAAGTTAGGCTGAGGCAAGAGGATTTCCACAAGTTTGAGACCACTCTGGGCTATATAGTGAGATCATGTCTTGCCTGAATTACTTGGTGAGACTACGTCTCAGAAAAAGTTTTTTAAAAATTGTATTGAGTAACTTTCAGTATTACAAGTGAACTATTGATTTCCTTTACATTTCCAGAAGATTATTACTAAAAAGGATGAGGCTGTTTGTTTTATTTGACTCCAGAAACCTTGTAAGAGTCTCTCATTTTGTGGTTCTTAACTGAAATCCTTTGAGTTTTCTAGGAATACAGTCATATAATTAGCAAAAAGAAGTAACTTGATCTCTTATTATCCAACATGTTTTCTTGATGGCACTGGGGACTGAACTCAGGGCTTTGTGCATGGAAGACAAGAGTTCTACTACTGAGCCATATCCCCAGCCCCTTATCCAATGTTTATACAGATTTGTTTGTTGACCATCCTTCAAAAGACTCTTTAAGAAAATGTTAAAAAATAATGGCAGTCACCCAATGTCCTCTCTTTTCTAATTTTGAGGCATGGGTGTCCTCATTTGGCTTGCTTGGGCCACACCGTAGGAAGAGGAGTTGTCTTGGATCACACATAAAAATGAAATATAGTTCATGCATATAAATTGAAAAAACTCTTTTTACATTTACTAGATTACAAATTAACCCTACAAACCCAAGCTTAAGAATTATATATGAACACAAATAAAAAACATTGTTTTTTACTTAACATAAGAATTAAATAAGAACATTTAACTAAAAACATTCTTTTCTCCAAGAATGATTTTTAAATTTTTTCAATGACTTTTTGGCATTTATCAATGTCTTCATTTTTTAAATTGTTAATTCAATGAAATATGACTACAGATGGCAATATTGCAACATTTGGCTTCCTAGAACAAAACTTAAGTCTTTTGGTAAGGTACTGGATTTTCTTTTGGATATATATTGATAAAATCACTTGAACTTTGTTAAATTTTTTGATACTATCTCATGTTACAATAAGGATGGTTTTGTAAAATAATTTGGGGAGTTTCCATCTTTTCTGTGCTTTAAATAGTAATACTTAATTATCCATCATTCTTAAAGATTAAAAAGAGTTAAAGACTTAACTATGAACCCACTCATTCTATTTTTTATAGTAGATATTTAATCTCCAATTTTTCTGTTGTATTTAGACTCTTTGTTTTACTTCTTGAGTCAATTTTTAAAGAAATCACTTATGTCTCCTAGGTTTTCAAATGTGTTCTTAAGCTCTAGTTAGTAATATATCATGTTTTAATTTTCTTCTGCATCAGTGGTTACCTTCTTTCCACCCTATATAATTTTGTTCTTTTTCACACACACACACACACACACACACACCCCAGAGCTATGCAGGATAACCTATCTTATCAGTGTTTTCAAAGAACCAGGTATCGGATTTATTTGCACAAATTTGAGATTTTGTACTTTATTAATTTCAATTATCTTTTTTACTTTTCTTACTATCATTTTGTTTCTAATATATAGATCTTTATATTAATAAAATATGTATGTTTTATATGTATTTATGGAATGCAAAACTCTTGGTATTTGAAATAACTTTGAGGGTGGTGGTGTAACTACAGAGCATGTGCAAGACCCTGAGTTCAATCCCTAGTACACACATGTGCACACTAAATTAAATATAAAATTCTAACCTGCATCATTACCACCCTGCTTCCCCATACATTCATTATTATTTTCCTTGTTTTACAATTTTTTATACCATTTATCACATCTTTTTAGGTACATGAGTTCCTTACACATAAACCAGGCATGGTGGTGTATGCCTGTAATCCCAGCATTCAGGAGGTTGACAGGATGATTGCTGCGAGTTCGAGGCCAGCCTAGCCTACATAATGAGTTCAGGGCCAGCCTGCACTACAAAGCAAGACTCAAAAAAACAGGGGGGAAAAAATGAGTTGTTCATCCATTACTCATTGCTCATTCTCTGTCAACTGTACACTCAGAAAGTCCACAGGGCTGGGAACCTTTATCTGTGTTGCTCCCTGATAGATCTCAAAAGCCTAACACATGATGCCAGACACAAACTAGGTATTCAAGAAAATGTAACTTAGGTCATTATGATAATATGACACACTTTAGTTACGAAAAGGGTAAACAGCAAGATGCTGGTGTCCACTCAGTCACCCGCATCCAGCTTCCCTCCTGGATCCTGCCCAACCTGAGGGTTAGGTATGAGTACTATGCCTCCACCTCCCCAAGCCAAGCCCCTGAACTTAGGGCACTAGGATGCTGCCAATCGATGAAAAAAAAAAAATGCATTGATTTTACATTTCTTATTGATCTTCAATTGGCAGCAGAATCAATTATTTTTATTTTTATTTTTATTTTTATTTTTACCATTGTTCTTGGCTGCACCGAATAGATCCTAAAGGAATCCTGGGCAGTCAACACCATGAACGCTTCCACCCAAGCGCCCGCCTCCTAACCCAGACCAGTACACAGAGACGGGAACACAGCTGGGTTACTTAGGATGCAGGCGAACAGCAAGGTCGCGAGGCACGCGAACAACGCGTCTCGCGCCATTAACACGTGCACCCTTTCCGCAGCTGACAGCGCCCCCACAACCTGGAACTAAAAGCTCGCCCCCCGCCCCAGTGCACCCGGAGCCCGCCCCCGCACGCGCAGCCGCACTCGGAGCCCGGAGCGCAGCCCTCGCCCCGCCCGCTACGCCGGAAGGACTCGCCGGCGTTTCCGGTGGTCGGCGACTCTGGTGGTTGCCTCGGTGATGTCCTGGGTTCAAGCTGCTCAGTCCGCTGGGAAGAGTGGAGACCAGGGAGACGTGTTTGACGAGGACGCCGACGAGTCCCTTGTGGTACAGCGGGAATGGCGGAGCCACATGCAGAGACGAGTTAAAGTAAAGCGGGGCGGAGGCAGCGGGGGCCCTGTGGGGGCCGACCTGGGGGGACCGGGGTTCGGGGCTGTGACTGATCCAGGTTCCGAGCGCCCCCGCCCCGGGTTTGCCTGCTCCCGTTTGCCCCGACTTTGCTCAGATTTTCCAGTGTTTTGTGTAGTGAGCACCTGCCATAGTTGCGGACTTACTAAAATCAACTTTATCCAGACCGAAAGAGTTTGTAGTTCAGTGAGAATCATAGTAGAAGAGATGGGGAAGAAGCATGTGGGGACCGACCACTCGTGACTGTCGACGGACGATACCGTCGCTAGACGCCCCCTGAATGTGGGGAGGGAACCCAGTTAGGAGTGACACCAGCCAAAGTATTTGGGAAAGGCAGATGTAAGAATGCTGTCTCAGAGAAATAGGGGAGAGCTTGCTAGGGAAGAGAACCAAGAAAGTTGGTTTCCTTTATTAACTGTGAACTGCATTCCTAATTTGCCTCACTCTTCCTTAAAGTAAGCGTTAATTTCTGAGTGGATCACTGCAGCGGTGGGGGCGTCTGCTGTAATTTAATCTTCCAGTAAAGTAATTCTGGCTTAGTTCAACAATCATGTTGTCAGTTACAAAAATGCTTTCCAGGAGGTTCGAAATAGATCTGTAAATACTGAGCGTCTTGTGAGTTAGTTCCCTGACACCCTGGAGAGATACAAGGCAGAATCTCTACTCACTGAGAATCTGCAGGCTCATTGAATTTGAGTATCAAGCAAAATTTCTAAAGCCAGACTTCCCGTTTTCCTTTTCCTAGAACTGTTTCCTCTTTCCTGATTTTGCCAGCCTTCTTACTCACCTATACAATTCCAGGCAGTTGCCAAGTGTCAGACATGTAATTTCCTCTCTGCGGAGACACTGTTAACAGTTTTTTGAAGATGTGTTTCACTGGGCATGGAGGCCCACAGCTATGATCTCAGCATTTGGGAGGCTGAGGGAAGAGGATAACCACAAGTTTAGGGCCAGCCAGGGCTACACAGTGAGTTCAAGCCCAGCCTGAACTACATTTCGCCATACTGTGTCAAAAGAGGCAAAATATATTTAAAATGTGCCCAGTCCATCTAGACTTAAAGCGCCTCTCTGGCAGATGTGAGGTTGTTTGATCCCTGGTACCAGTAAATAAATACATACGTGAACTAAAGAAAAGACTAACCAGTAATAAGCCATTGGGAGATAAACTTTTTCTTATTTCGGTGCGTATGCCATATTATGTTCAATAACACAGAAAGGCCAAGTTTCTGTTTTATAAGTCGATTCTGTGCCTTTCTAGAAAAGCCTACATATGCTTCACATTGTGTAGTCACTGGTGCAATTCTCATGACTTATTTTAGGAAGGTTACAGAGAGGGAATCGATGCTGGTAAAGCAGTTGCTCTTCAGCAGGGCTTCAATCAAGGCTATAAGGAAGGTGCAGAAGTTATTATGAACTACGGACAGCTCAGAGGAACGCTGAGGTAACTTTAAAAACAAGTGCTGAATCATTTTAGCCATATCACTGGAGTACTTTTTGTAAAGTAATAAGTAAAAATGAAGTGTTTGATGTGCTTGAGTATTTCAGAACATAACAGTGATGCTGCCTTTGAAAAGTAAAACTTATTACTTCATATGTAAACCTTCATATGTAAACCAGACATTGTCCTCTTTTATTCTTCAAAGAAATGGTAGAAAGGTATATACTTTGCAACTCAAAACTATCCTCTCTAATTAAAAGATCTTCAGGTACTAAATAAAAGTTGTTAATACTTGCACATGTGGTAGAACAAAATACAACAGACCAGAACTGAAGAAATGATTCCGTATATTTTAATCCATAGCAGTAATGGCATATAGCAGGACCAGCTGACCAACTAACATACAAAACTGAGAGCAGGACGGGCTTATCCACTGTGATACAGTCATGACAAGTAGATGTAAAGCTGTGGAGGTGGTGTAAACAGTTCATATGATTAGTGTGCTTGCTTAATTTGTGTTAAAAGATAACATTCTTATTTTTTATCGTGTTCCCACCAGCTTGAATCACTGGTAGTACACACAGGACTATTCTACCAGGCAGCTTGTCCCAGTAGTGAATATGTTAATTCTATTTTACCATCATTACTCTCTTGATGCTGACTTAAGTTACTATTATTAACTCATTTTTACATGGTGTTTTCCAATAGAAAAACATGTAGGGCTTGGCCTTAAAAATTCTAAAAGCCTGCAATTCCAGGCTGTAAAAGCCTGTGACTATTTGAAGTTTTTCTCATTTAACTTTTTTAAATATTTTCTTTCAGTGCCCTGCTCTCCTGGTGTCACCTTCATGATAATAGTTCCACTCTGATCAGTAAAATAAATAATCTCCTGGATGCAGTTGGCCACTGTGAAGAGCATGTGCTCACACATCTAAAATCAATCACTCCCCGGCCCCACGTTGGAGATTTATTGGACTCCATTGAGGATATGGACCTTTGTCATGTAGTTCCAGCTGAGAAAAAGATTGATGAAGCTAAAGATGAAAGACTCTATGAAAATAATGCTGAGTTTAACAAAAACTGTGACAACGGTACTAGGAGGGTAGACTGTGTATGTTTAGAAGAATGCAGAACAAAAGAACCTGCACATTCTGCAAACCCAAGCCTCACCTGGATTTTAGAACAGACGGCCAATTTAGTTGCACAGCTGGGATTCTCAGTTGATGTGTTACAGCACCTCAAACAACTTTGAAAAGCTTCCCTTTCCCATGAAAGCAATGTTCGGAATATTTCTTAAAGCACTTTGTTTCCTAATAAGACATCCAAAATCTGTACTGGGTTCTACATTGAACTTATAGTTATGCTTCATGAAGTTCCAAATGTCTCCAATGTTGACACTATTAAATGTAATATAAGCCTGTTTAGTCTCTTTAGCCTGTTAATTTATTTGTAATTTAAAATAGGCTAAGTACAGATGTCATTTTCAATTTTCTGATCAAAATTAAGCATTTTTAAACTTCAGCAAAAGTGAGTAAGACTCAAACATTTTGTAAGAAGCTGCTGCTACTCTCTGCCTCGGTCACCATTGGGTGGTTCTACACCACATCACCAGGCCCAAATTAGCAGGATTAACCTAATGCTAACATAGATACACAAAAATGTATGGGTTTATAGACTTATAGCCATATATTTAAATTAAGAAACCATGGTGGAAATTGAAGTAATATTTATACTGTTAACTAAATGATTAAAAGCAAAATACTAAATTCAGTTTGGTGACATAGTGATACAAAGTAAGGATGTTCAGGGTGGGCATGTTTGCAAAGCCTGTAATCCCAGCACTTAAGAGGCTGAGGCAGGAGGATTGAGTGTTCAAGACCAACATGGAGTGACTTCAAGGCCACCCTGAGCTACATAGTTTTAAAAAAAAAGAAAACAGAAATATCAATTCCATGAAAAATACAGAAGTACATTCCCTGCTCAAGTTTGAAGAAAAATGCCTACAAGTTTTTCTAAGTAATGAGAAGTTAGTAGTGTGCCTAACGGTGCATCAGGTTACTTCGAAATTGTAGTTTTGCTTGATATTCTCATAGGAGTGAGACACTTGTTCTCACGGGAGTGAAATTACTGACTTCTGCACTGTTCCTCGAGGTGAAATTATTTGTCTCGCACAGACAAAAAATAGTTTCCAATTCTTGCTTTCAGACCTAAGCATGTCAGGATCAGAATTTCTAACTACTTTTTTTCACCTGAAACACAAATTTAAAAGGTGCCTGACCTCAGAGGCATTCAAATAATTGTCCTTTGTAACTTTAGTTGCTATGTCACCATCTGTTTTAAAAGACACAAGAGTGGCAATTACCACTGAATTAATAGGCAAGCCAATGCTTGTGTGCATGAAGGCTACTGTGCGATAACCCACAGGAAACATTGGTTGAAGTATTACTTTCAAGTTAAATAGTTTTTAAAATTTTTTAAAAAGACAGTGTAACAGTCTGACAAAGTTTTTCTGACAGTCTAAGAAAATGTACTACTGTGATCTTAAGCCCTCAAAGTTCACAGGACATCAAGAAGCTAAGACAACAAAATCTAAAATTATATATATAGGGTTTTAAGTTTTACTAAAACATGCTAAAGATATCAAAGTGACATCTGAAAACTAGTTTTTTTTAAATGCTAGCTGGGTGTGGTGGCGGGAGCCTGTAATTCCAGGTACTTGGGAGGCGGAGGCAGGAGGAGGGTAAGTCTGAGGCCAGCTGGGGCAATATAACAAAGGTCTGGCAGTGTCTGATAATAAAATTTAAAAAGGGTTGGGGACAGCTGGGTGTGGTCACACAAGCCTGTAATCCCAGTGGTCTGGGTGGCTAAGGCAAGAGGATCACACATTTGAACTTATCCTGGGACAACTCATTTAGCAAGACCCTGTCTCAGAATAAAAATAGACTAGGGAATTTTTTTTTCCATATTTGTGGATGCAGCTACAATCTCTGAAAAAGCCCTACCTATGTCTGCTTGAGGCCTTGGGGTTGAGGGGTCATAAAGACACAAGCCTTGACAGTTGCCTGGAATAAAAATTTCATGAATAGTAAATCCTGAGATTTTATCTGGCTTGCCCTCATTAGGGTCCCAAAAGATAACCTCTCTTGCTAGTGCTGGTTATATATGTGTGTTTGTACAGAGGATCCCAGAAACTAAAGAGAATTAGCTGAGTTGAGGCTATTGGGGTGAAAAAATTGTCTTAAATGTTTAGAAGGTCCTGGAAGGCAAGAGGATTTGTAATTGTACACTCATTATACTCAGGCTCTATGGATACAAGCCTCTAGACTAGAACCAACCAGAGTGTAGGAAAGAAATGTTGTTTGGCCTGCGGGTTGTAAGTCTGCCAGGTCTTCCCCGGGAAGGATCTGGAAGAAGGTAAGTGGGCAGGAAATAGCACCCTGAGCTGGTATGGCCAAGTCCCAAACATTGGGTTGGATGATGTAGTTATTTTAGAAACAGAAATTTCATCTAACTTCTAGGTATTGATATATCTGGGCATCTTTTTAACCAAAGAGAGGCAGGAGCACCACAATATTATGCTATTCTGACATTTCTGTTGCAAACACCACTGAGGTCACCAAAATTTTTGTGATGTATAAACACAGGAAGTAGACGGCTGAGTTCCTAGGTGTACCCCTATCCCAGTGAGCTAGCTGGACCCATTGCAAGAAATGCATCTCTGGGCGATTCCAACCCCATCTCCCAGACTCCATAACTATGTTTGCAACTGTTCATTCCTTGCACCTGTTTCCGTGACAGCACGTGCAGCGTATCTGAACAGACCCCCGCTACCCTTCTCTCTGCTCCCATTCCTGTTTACTGAGGCTTTTATATTTTCATCCTACAAGTGTCATGCCTGCCTCCCAAAGCCAGAAATCTTAGGTCTTCTGCTGCTTATTCTTAGCTATCATAACCTACTTCCACTTGAGAATTTTAACATCTTCAGAACATATTTAAATCTGGCCTCCTTTCATTCGGATCATCAGATGCTCATTAACTCAGGTACCAGCCATTGTCCTAGCTTTATTCCTGTCTGTTCTCTCCCTCATCTCTATCATCCTCCTAAAACAGCTTGCTTTCCTGATTTAAAGCCTTGATTTATTCCACTTTGTCCCACTGAATAAAGTAGAATCTTGGATTGCAGTTCTGGGCCCAAACAGCACTGGCAGCGTTGTTTCCTGACTCCTGCCCTGTACGCACACCACAGTTACTTAAGGAGAATCGCACAGTAATTCATGGACGTTCTAGAGCTGCTCTTAACCTCTCATTTTACTCATTGCCAACTCTTCTGCCCAGATTATTTTATTCTGCATCCTTCTTTCCCAGCAAAGGTTTATTTATTCTTCTGTACCAGTGTGAATTTCAACTTCCTCAAGCAGTGTTAGTGGCTCAGTATTTCCACTCTGTCACGTTGAGTGTCTCTTAACTTCTGCATTCTCCAAAAAAAGTATCTTGCTTGGTGTTAGTGACATCCTCAACACTTAGCCTCATGCCTTGGACAGACATCCCTAGGCGCTATAGAATAAGAGAAAAAAAAATGGTGAATCTCTAGCCAGAAGAAAAATATAACCAGAAATATAACATTGCAAAATAGAACATGTTATATCTTTTCATTTTTAGAAAAGAAAATTTTACATTCATCCCTTTTGAAAAATGCTGCTTTCTTTCATTTCACATATTCACATAAAAATGCACAAATCCAGATCTGGGTGTCATACTATTGTACCAGAAATAGTAACATGAAAACAACCAATTATTGACAATATTCTAATGAATAAATAATATTACAATGTAATGTGAAGACATTGAAAGATATAGATTTATATTTTAGTATAATTTCAGCTATTAAGAAAGTGCAGAAAAAAGATACAAAATAAAAAACTAGATGGAAACAGTTTAATAAACAAATTATGGTTTCTAGCAGGATGTCTGGTGGAGCATATTCTTGAAAGCAGTGAAGAATTGGAGAAAGGGGGCTGGAGATTTAGCTCAGCAGCAGAAGCGCCTGCCTTGCAAGCAGGCAGTCCTGAGTTCGCCTGCCTTGCAAGCAGGCAGTCGTGAGTTCAATCCCTGGTACTGATAAAAAACGAAAAAGACAAAAAAAAAAAAAAAAAGAATTGGAGAAAGAAGAAGAAATAGAGGAGAGTAATGCACAGAAAATTTACTGTTCTACCAAATTTACATATATTAATCTGTTTAACCCTCATAACAACCCTATGTATGCCACAAAGGATTATTATCCCCATCCTAAAAATGAGGAAAGTGAATTCACAGCTATGAAATGGCCCAGCTGAGGTTTTGTCCCAGGCATGGCTGGTCCCAGAGTCTGAGCTCAGGGCAAAGCCTCACTGAGTAACACAGCAGTTATGATTGTGTTCAGGACCAGATACCACAGTTCCTGCCTGCTGTTAATTTCTACTTTCTTGCATTTTTCAAGTCCTACCCTGTCAGTATTATTTTTATACTGAAACGTATACTAGTAACCAACAGTTAAAGAAGGAAAATTTATTAGAAATTGGTTTGCTGCACCCGTAGAAAAGAAATACACTCCTACTAAAGGAGAGAAATGTAATTATCTGGCATGCACTGTAGAAAGATGTGTTTAGCATCCATAGAAAATAAATTCTCCTTGGACTCCTCAGACTTTCTTCCCTTCTCATGGGAGAGTAATTTGTGCCCCTCCTTTTGTGATAACATGACTTCACTTTTCTTTCATATGCTCCCACTCAACTCAGAGGAAGGTATTAGCTCGTCTCTGACACACATACACTTTTTTACAGGGTTGTCAGAAAGGGCTAAGAACCCTCAACAAAGTACTGTACTCCATTTTCTTATCCTATAGTCAGATCTTTTTAGAAAGGTCAGAAAAAGGCAAATCAGAACGTCTTACAGATTTAGTCCTACAGTAACTGAGCCCTGGCACTTTCAAGTGTTTATAAGCAAACAGGCAAATCAGGTAGGGAGGCTCTGGACCTTTGGGTTTTCTTTCTTTCTAGAAAAAATTGTTGAGTAGTGGCCACTAGGTGGTGCCAGTGCACCCTGAGGTGTTAGTACAACCTGTGTTTCATTACTGGGTGACCTGCTCTGTGCTTAGACTTCACCGCTGAGGACAAGAAGCTAAGGACTGTCCCTAAAGCGACACAAAACAGGTGGAGTCATTTGTGGGAGTCTGAGAAGGGTTCTGTACAGGTTAACAAACAAGAAATTAAGGTGTCCCCCATTTTAATTCTAGGCTGAGAATTTTCCTAAATCAAAATAATCAGGTAGGTATAAAGAAACCTGTTCATAAGAAAAATGCACCTTTTATCCTCCAAAGTTCTGAGGCGTAAGAGTAAACACCTAAAACCCGAAGCACACGGCCTTCAGTCAGAGACCATGCAA